CAGCAGCAGCAGCAGTAGTCGTAGTCGTAGTCGTAGTTGTAGTCGTAGTAATAGTAGTAGTAGTAGTAGTAGTAGTAGCAGTAGTAGTAGTAGTAGTAGTAGTAGTAGTAGTAGTAGCAGTCGTGGTGGTGGTGGTGGTGGTGGTTGTAGTAGTGCTACTACTACTACTACTACTACTACTACTACTACTACTGCTACTGCTACTGCTACTGCTACTGCTATTACTATTACTATTACTATTACCTCTTCTACTACTACTACTACTACTACTACTACTACTGTTATGTTCCCCGAGTTGACCTATGACTGACGAGGTGAAGTCGTGCTTGATGGAAATTCATGCAGGGCATGCCGCTCGATGGGCACGGAACTCAGTGCTGCCAGTCCGCGCGCAGTCCTTTTGTGACGTGCCTTAGCTCAGAATTCCGAGTCTTCGACACTCAGAGACCCAGAAACTGTGCAGAGCCGCGCACGCGTGCGTCTCGCATTCATACATTTCCCTGGATGCACACTCTATCTCACTGTCCCTTCTGTGCTAGGGGCAAGCAAGCGACGGTCAGGCGGATTTGCTGGGTGTTGGGGGCTTTTTGCAGGACATTCCTGGTAGCATGTGTTTTCAATCCAAGTCTGGTGTTCGGATGCCAGCTGCCGCTATGCACGCAAGCTGTTACGAAAAAGGTGGATCCTCCAAGGCACACTCAAAGAGCCCGAGTAGAAGCTCAAGCGGATACCTACCTGTCACAGCTTGATCGCACGGCGCCTCTCTATGTGCCCACACCATACTGACAGGCCTCCTACAGTCAGAACGTTGAGAACTATGCCCTCTTGGCGTTGAGCAGGCCATGTCTCCTTGTTACCGAGGCAAAGTGTCACTGCTGGGTACAGTTGCATTGTGCACAGCGTAGCAGAATCTTTGGTCGCGACTTTGCTTTTATTTACGAGTATGTGTGGCAATTGTCATGCCAGGGATCATTGTTGCCGTTGTTATCATGGTTATCTTGGTAGGAGTCACTCTCAAGCTGGTCACCTTCATCAAAAAATCTACCATCTTTGACATTGTTCGGCTAATCTTGGCTATCATTGCCATGATGTTTGTTGTTGCTGTTGTTTAATTCTAAACATGGCTGCTTTAGCTGCTACAGACGGTCTGTGCCTCGTGCCAGCTCACCAGCGGTGGGATCTCTGACTTTCGACGCGGATGCCGAGCTGTTGCTCGGTCGGAGCCTTAGTGGAAGGAACGGGTCAGGGTGCTGAATTGTCACAAGCAAGTTCAGTCAAGCTTAGCCTCAAGCTCTGCAGCAGCGTTCGTTTCTCGCGGTTTTAAGATCTCTTGGTCGACAGGTGGTGCTGACCTTCCGATGGACGACGTAGCTCCTGGTGATGGCGAACAAAGTGTCGCGAACTCGAGCAGGGAGCAGCGCTGAATGGGCAAGCAGGGCTCCTTCCTGACTTTTTTCCCTCCCTTCCTGCTGAACTTCTCAGCAAGCCGTAAAAGCCGAGCTCCAAACATTTGGTGCCACAACCAGAGTCTCAGCCAACAACCAGAGCGACAGCCAGCAGCAGCAACAGGAGGTACATGGATAATATAATATAATATAATATAATATAATACCAATTCGAGCACCTCTGTGGGCTTCCACATCTTTCCAAATGACTGGACGTAGCTGGGAAGTGCTTCGCAGCTGACTGACTGCTGCATATACTACCAAGTTCAAAACATAGAATACCGAAATCCACGCCTGGGTGTATGTCCGCAGTGATAGGGATTGCTCCCTCGTCTGATCAGACTTTGTTTTGAGGTCACCGCTGACCGTGGGGCGGAAATTGCGTATTTCCTTGCCACGCTGAGGCCAGTGATGTTAGAAAAGGCCGCCTAGAAGCCTAATCTCCATCATCAAGTTGTATCGGCTCTTACACCCGAGCTTTGCCAGTTTTCGCCGTGTTAAAGGATGATGTATGTTTGCCTCTGCTCCTACCGTGCACAGGCAGCCTGGTCGGTAAAGCAGTAAAGCAGCTAGTCTCAGACTCCAGCAAGATCGCGTGGAGTTTTAGCAACATGACCTTGCGTCCATGACTGCACTCTTATACTAAATCATGTAAAGACTCGGGACTTCCTGAGTTTCCTTTCGTTTTGGCCAGGCTTCCAGATGGTGCGCCACAGGCAACTCGAATGTTGAAGGACGTTGCGAGTGAATATGATGCTTCGCCAGGCCGCGTTACAAAACTCGCCGGTTGTCAGTGTAGGAGGCTTACTTGATCGCTCGAACATTGGAGTGTTGCATCACAACTTCCGCCCTTTCGGCTGCGACACGCTTCGCGACTGTGAAGTGGACGGACTCTCGGTTGTCACACTCGCGTGCACACCCGTCGGCACAAAAGCCCGAGCCAAGGGTCGTTACAGTCGAAATCATTTAGTCTGGCAGCTGGTCCGCCAGCTCCGGATAACCTCAGCCAAGCGATGATCCAGTAACTGGGGTCACAACTGTTGTGACGCGGTACGACCCGAAACCCTAAACATGCTGATTGTCCAATTGCACTCTGTATTGCGTGTGCGGCGCAGCAGTTTGAGGCCACATCACATCCTTCAAGGTCAGTTTTCGCAGCAGCGCATGAGGCGCATCCTCAAGCTTTCTTTCGTGTTGTGTCCGGTTGTGGTTTTGTGTGGTACTTGATGCAGCTGGCAAGAGAGCTATCCATCCCAAAAAGCACGAGCAAACAATGGTGCCACAAGCTATGTCATGCACGCTAAGTCGTGTGTGGAAGTGGTTCTGCTTATCAGGACGGATCCGTGCATCTTTGGCGATTCGGGCAGCGGCAGCCGTTTCAGCAGTTGTCCGGACTCCCAGCTTAGATCAAACGTGGTGTTGCAGAGCCGGTACTGACTAACATGAACCTCACAACCATTCAGCTGTCTTTTCTCAAGCCCCATTTCCCTGAAAGCCCTAAATCTTAAACCCAGTACCCTGAACCCTAAAAACCCCAGACCCCTAAACCCTTTTCAGCCTCCTTCTCGGACTCTTTCGTCTTGTCGTGAGGCCTCGTCCATCAGCTCCAGCTCTGTCCTCGGCCAGGGAGTAAGAAAGGGGTAGGGTTTAGGGATTGGGGGGGGGGTTCTGTGCCGTAAGTGTCAGAAATGTCGCGGTATGGGAGAGCGTGAAGACATGTCATGTGCACGCAGCTTCTACAAAACCGTGGCACAATGCAGCAAACGCATGCAGTGCGTTTTTGATTTTTTTGTTTTTTGTATGTGTGTGTGTGTGTGTTTGCACGGATATGTCTACTTGTGTCTTTCTGTTTCTGATCATCCGAAAACTCCAGTTCTGTCCGTCCACAAGGTTTGGGGAGGCCTTGCCAGCTCCAATGGTTTTTCTTGTCGCGCAGGAAATCCGAGGGAATCCGTAGAGCTCCCCATGACCTCCCAGGAAGCTCGCTCCGCCTGAGGGCCCGTCCAGTGTTCTTCCCCACCTTAAGCCTTGGTTACACAACAGCCAGCACTTCATTTCAGTCAACGGAGTGTAATATCAAGGTGTCGTCCATTGTCCTTCACTCTGTTTCGTGAGTGTGTTCCGCTTGTGTCGAATTCGTGGTGAACGGTATTGCCTCTCAGCGACAGACCTGACGTGTTTCCTCAGGCCAAGACATCTGCCAACCGTTCAGGCCATTACACTCAGTTGGTGCAAGGAGGGAGCGCATAGACAGGTAAGTTGCACGGTGAAGGAAGTCGATAGCATCTACATAACATGCAGACAACAAACGAGACGCACACACACTCACGCGTCATTGCAGATTTTTTCTGGTACTGTCATGTTAACTTGAAGTCTGCACCAAGGAAAGCATGTAGTAATGTAGTATGGAAGCTCGCACGCCAGCCACGCCCTGATGCCGTTTCGGAGGGGTCGCCATCGAAATGCCGACAAATTGGCCTCCATGAATTCATTTAGGAGTTTCAGCAGAAAGCTGTTTCTTCCTGCTACTTGTATGGCGTTTTCCCCTGGCTTCCTATGCATCATGACATAGAAGGTACGTACATAAAGGCAACTCGGGATGACGACGAACCAGCAACATCGCCGTCAATGTCGTGCTCGACATCGTCATCACTGTTACATCGTCATCGCTGCATATCTGCATTACCATCGCCATCACCATCGCGAGCCACCCCATCATCGTCGTCACGGGCATCACAGGACACAACCCGTGCACGGAGCTCCTTTGTAGCTGTCGACGTCTATGTGTGTATATATATATACACACAGCACACATTCACACATATCTAGATACATACGGATAAGCAGAGGTAGAAACATAGGCAGGCATTTGATAGAGAAAAGGAGAGAAAAGGAGAGAAAAGGAGAGAGAGAGAGAGAGAAAAAAAAAAAGAAAAGAAAAAGAGAGAGAGAGAGAGATCTATATCTCTATATCTTTTACTGGAAACCGAGCAACCGTGTCTTTTACCAAGCCCCCACAAGGCCCCTAACAAAGGGGTGCGCCATCCGGCGCGGGGAGCCGCTCCCTGGACCCCGGAGAGCAAAACAGAACAGAACAGAGAGAGAGAGAGAGAGAGTGTGTGTGTGTGTGTGTGATTGTGTGATAAGCAAAGCAAAGCAAAGTGTGTGATTGTGAGAGTGAGTGAGAGTAGGTAGTGTCCCGGTGCGTGTACTTTTCGCAGTCCCTTCAGTAAGCTCCAAAATTTGGGGTCCACAGTGGCCAGGGGGCTTCAGACGCTCCCTAAGGAAGAAGTGAGTGAGAGGGACAAGCCTTTGAGTGCGATTTGCATGCAACTTCTTGGCATCCGCAACAGGCAAGGGCACACTTGTGCGCGGTGGGGAACCACAGCCCTGGCGATAGACAGACAGCCAGAGAGTGTTGGGTGGGGTCTTGCAGCGTGGAAGCACGGAGCATACGTGCAGCCGTCATCAGAAGCCCCGAAGCCGACCACTCACATTGTGTGGTTGGGCCGGCCTGTGGCCTGAGGGTCGCACGCCGACAGCTAAGCCGTGGAGAAAGAAGAGACAGATAGACAGAGATAGAGAGTGCCTGGGGGATTTGCTGACCCCTTAAGCCTGGGCGAAGAGAGTGTGTGCGTGTTTGTACTCATCTCCCCCACGCACACGAGCCTACAGTATCCTCAGAATGCTTGACTTCTGGCAGGGGCCGCGGAAGATACCGGCGAGGCGACGTGGTGCAAGAAGTGCTGTGATGAATTGACGGCAGTTTCCTGGTCAACTCAGAAGCTGGCAGGTGAGCAGCGGGACCAGTGGGAGGTGGAGTCTTGCCCGACGCCCAACGGACCCCGCCAATGAAGCCACACGCCACCTGTGATTCCCAGAGTTTGTTCGAGCCGTCAAGTTAAGTTGCATGCTGTGTCCCTCTGGGCCATACTTCAACACTGCAGCTCGCATGTTCGTTTGACGACAGGCTAAATTTTCTCTCCTGCTTGGGGCTTGTTCTCGATCTGTGCTTCTCTGGTCTGGTACGGTGGCAGCGGTGGGATCGCACTGTCAGCTCCATAGACCGAACCGCCGCCGATTCTTGGCGGGAGGGAGGGGGGAAACTTTGGGGGGGGGCATCCACTTTGGGCCGCTTCTTTTTCCATTAAGCTTGGGCTGCTGCCAAAGCCTTCGAAGCCATCCTGTCCCAGCTCGGATGTGGGATGCTGGTGCTCGCCCCGAGCTAGCAAGACATCTTAAAGGCGAAACGCGTACCAAGCTGCTTCCGCACCTCCTTTCTTCCGTGCTTTCATTGCGGAGATGGCTAAAGATCAGCGCATGCCCACATGGCTTCTTTGGAGACGTCTTCCAAGGACTGGAGCCCTTGCGGAAACCGTCTGCTTGGCGCTCCTCGGCCGGGCTACGGCTTCTGCTGAGATGGATGACATGTATGATATAATATAGTATAATATGATAGAATATAATATAGTAAACTATAATATAATATAATATGATATACTCAGTCCTATCTCTAAGGTGCTGGATGCTCCAGGCAGGAACATGGTGAACCTGTGGACGGTGGCGGAAGGACTGGCCCGCTTTCGATCCGCCGTTGTCAGTTGACTAAGTCCCTCGTCAGGCAGTCGGCCAGGTCCTGCGTATTCGCTGCCGACAGGCTCAGCTCTGCAGCGGCTGCAGCGGCGTAGCTCCACAGATGTCACTGTGCAGCACTGCAAGTTGTCGATCTTTCTTTGCATCGCCGCTCCTCCGACAAGGCTGTTGTGTGTCAGGCATTAGCAGTACGCCGCGAAGTCTTACCGGTGTATGTCACTGAGCCAGATTCCAACATTCGGCTTCTCACGGTTTCAACAAGGTCGTCTCATGTACCAGACACATCGAGAGAGGAACTTGTAGCGTGAATTGCGGCGGACCTTCGAGCAGACAGCAAAGCGATGTTGAGGCCTGACGTGGGCCCGGGTTGGGGCGGCCCTTTTCGTCCCCTGAGTGCTGGGTTCAGGCTCATGGTGTTGCATTGGCTTGCAGGACAGGCGCGCGTGAGGCTCCCACTGCCCGGGCACAGCTCAAACTGGCGCCGAACCGTGAAGCCGTTGCCTTTAACTCTTCCAAGTCTCAGACAAAATCTCAGAGTTGTTGTGTCGAGTTTCCATGGCTGAGGAGCCATGGCCCAGCAGCCTGCGGGGCTACTCCCCAGGCCAGACGTTTAAGTTTCTGGCACATTCTATCAACATTGAGACGAAGGCGTTGCTTGGCAGGTTCAACTGCAGCCCCGGACTCTGCAGAGTCCCCTCTTTCTCCAGGTGTTCCTTGCAGCTCATGTGCTCTGACTCGTGAACAAGGGAAGTTGATGGCCACCCTCTGTCAGGTGAAAGCCCAATACCTTCGCCAGCATCTTGCCCTTTCGGACAACAACGGAGGAGCCTTGCAGCCGATTGGAATAAACTGAAGTTTCCATAGCCATAGGTTTTCCTGACTGTTCTGCGACTTCGAAACTGCTTGCCTCCGTGACTAGGACATCGCTGACGGTGGATCTACGTCGTGCTTCACGTGATAGCCGGGAGACCCTGAAGACAGGCCGAGCCTTTCAATCCGTTGAGCCGCTCTTGTCCAATCGCCCGTCCTGAGCACTCTGGCTCTTGTCGCTCTTTGCAGATTCATCGACTTCCCTGCCAGACGAGGATCGGATCGGATCATGTTCGAGACACTTGTGGCAACTGGGAAAGCTGCCAGGAGCACCAGGGCCAGAGAGAAGCTCTGCCCGCTCTGCACGAAGCTCTACAGGCTTCCCTGGATGGGATGGCCGGTGCCTGCAGCCGCCTTCGCGGAGAGGATGTGGTGAGTGCACCCCATCTTAAGATTGAGATTTGGAAAAAGACGTGTGGCATGCGCTCCCCACCTGACAGTTTTTCCAACTCAGGTAATTGAGAATGGAGAGCTCGCAGCAGGGCACACGGGTGTACTTCCTTCTCGAAGTCACTGACGATTGCACTTGCACTGCTTCTCCTGTGCTGTCCCCATGCTCAGGTGTTGGGCTTTGCTCCTTCGGTGACCACTCTGCATATGCAGCAGGCCGGTGAAGCTTGGAAGACTCCTGCATCCATGTCTTAGCTGACGAAGATCGTAGCAAGATGTGAGCAGTGCAGGAGATTGTGCGATCCTCGGAACTCAGCTCGAGGTTAGTGGTGTGCAAGGCAGAGCAGCAGAGCATAGCAGAGCCTTCCCGAGGCAGCGTCGCTGAAGCGAAGCTCAGAGCTTGCAAACGAGATTCTCACGGAGGCCTCAGGGGGCCACAGCCTTTGCCTTTAGCCTCTGAGTGTCAGAGACGCCAGGCAGACGATGACTGGCAGGAAAGTGCCAGCCAGGAGCAGACGAGGCCTGGTCTAGACAAGTAAGCTGTTCATACAGACCGCTCAGTCCGATTCAAGAAGCCTTCGTGGTGCATTCGGATCCTAGGCACTCACATGTTAGACAGAGCCGCCGGGCAGCGGCATCGTCAGCCTTTCGTGGAGATTTCCGCGATGTCCGAGCCAACTTTAGGGATCCTCAGATCACGATTCTGTGTTCTGGAGAAGGTCTTGTTGGCTCGGAGCCCATTTGGCTTGTCTCCACACCGGAAAGTCACCAAGCATGAGCCATAACAACAGGAATGCACAATCAGATAAACGTAGTAAGACTTTTTGACTTATCTTCGCAGCAGCTTCGAGTGAGACCTGATCTGTGCAGGGCTGCGAAGGCGGAGAAGCGTCTCGCGGACAAGGACGGGAGTGCGGCTGGAATGGTGACCTGTGCTAGATGTGTATCCATAGCCGCAGTGTCGAGGACAGAGAAATCCTGTCGTTGCGTGAAGCGCTACACGCGGAGCGGGATGCCCGATCTTCTGCTGAGGCACGCAGTACAAGTGTGTGTGCACGAGTTGATTCGCGTGGGTTTGCCATCCGTGTCCATGACCCCTGCCTTCGAGAACATGCGAGTACCGCTCGCGCGTGAAGCCATCCTCTGCTACCTGTAGGCTGCATTTTGTTTGGAAACTTTCTGGTTTATGGACAGGCCAAGCTTAACGAGCTGCGCAACACCTTGCAGAGCCGTGACGAGATGCTGCATGTGAAGAATGAGGCAGAGAACCTTGCAGCCTCGCTTCGATAGTTACGAAAAGACTAAATGCCTCTATCCTTGGGGCCTGTCAGCTCGGTGGATTCCGTGCATGCAAAGAGGAGCTCTCGAAGCTTCACATGGAGCTGCACAGCCTTGCACGAGAGCACTGCGCACTGCAGCTGCGCTGCCGGCAGTCGGAAGAGTCCAGGCGAGCATCGCTTGCAGTGTGACGAATAAGTGTCTAAGGTTTGAGGGCTTGGCATGGCCATACCTCCTTGAAGGCATGAAGGTGTCGCCGACGCTTCCTCCGAGCTCTCGTTCCTGCGCCGGCAGTGCAAGCTGCTTCAGGCTGGCAGCTGCCTAGCGCGAAGGTCAACAGCTGTAGAAGTAGAACTAGCCATCGACAGGAGATGAACCAGCAGTTGCGGGCTTCTGGGAAGCACTTTGTGGACCAGGGCATTTGTCCAAATTGTTGTGTTGTTGCACGGCCGACAGGTTGATAAACAACAAGATAAGCATTTGTTTGAGTATACTTTCAACCGGAGGGCCCTTCTGTCCCAGGCTGTCTTCGTTTCTGCAGACGTCTCACAACGGGTTTCGTATTGGGATAATTTTGTCGCCAGCTAAGGACCAAAGCAAGACGTTGCTGCTCGGTAGAAGCCGTCCACGCTGAAAGCCCGAGTGCGTCTGACTGTTTTGTCAAGAAGCGGTCTCTTCCGTAGTGCCGTAGTGTTTCCGCGCATGAATAGCTTGTGACCACAGCGTGCCGTGAAGATGGCAGCCCTGTAGTGGGTGCAGTGGGAGTGTCACTCAAGGGGAGAGGCTCCAGGTCTAGGCCCGTCTAGGCATGTCGCAGACATCAGTGCAAGCGGAACTCCGCCCAGGTTTGCGACACCAATGCAGCTCCAGGTGGCTGAAGACGAGGCTGTTGACTGCGGGCTCACGTGCTTGTACGTGTGGCTGTGTTGAGGTTCCTGCTGAACCGATTTCACGGGATGCCTCCAAAGAGTCCACGAAGGACGCAGTAAGCTTCGCTTGAGGCTTGAGTCTTCTGTAGTCATTGTGTCCTTGAGCCGGTGAGTCCAGAGTCCAAGATATGCAGCAGGACGGGAGAATTGGCAGCCACGGAAGTCCTGGGCCTCTACCCTCCATCAGCCGTGCAGCCGTGCGCGCTATGTCGTAGGACGCAGCGGGTCATGCTTCATGGTCCATGTATGGTGCTTCTAAAGAGTCTCCAGATCACGCGACGTCACGTGAGGGCAGTTTTGGTGCCACTCAACTTCCAGGAGGACGCGAGCCAACGCGTGAAAAGCTTCTTCGGCGTTGGGAGAGCTTGTCCATAGCTGGCTATTGCCGAACGAACTTCCGGCCATCTTCTTCACACCCAGCTTGGAAGCCCTTCTCATTCAAGTGCCTTCTCCTAAGCCGTGCTATAGGAGATGAAACGACTGCAGCATCCTACACCTGCGAGCAAGAGTTCTTCACTTAGCCAGCGAACTAATTGCATGTTTGACATGCCGCAGACCTTTGAGCCTTAGCAGCTTGCGAAGGTTTTTTCCCAACAGGTCTATCGCTTCAACTGTGCAGCCTGCTGTGCTGCGAGTTGGAGGCATGCGACACGAGGCTTCGTGGTGCTCGAGCACAATGTCACGTAGCGTCAGCTGATCTACGCCAGGTCTATAGCCTAACGCGCTTTTCTTGTTCAGGATCTGTTCCGCTCCGCACAAGCAGAAGCCAAGAAAGCAAATCGAATTTACTAATCGGCAACCTGTCGGCATTATGGCAGTGAGAAGCTGCTGGAACGGTTTGCATGGGTCTTGCTTCCTGAACGCCGAGCTCTAGGCAGCTGGTGTTAGGGGTGCAACGACTATGGCCCGGAGAGGACATGTGAGATTCACGTCACCAGTGCCACATGTTGAAATCCAGACATTCCTGGCTTTCCTCTCCGAGCTTTCTGTTTGTTTTTTGGCTGCGTCGTCAGTTGAAAGGTGGCAATGCAGAGTGTTCATCCCAAGAGATGGTGTCAGCCAAAACCAGAGTGACTGCGCTGAGGGACGTTAGGACTGATAGGAAGCATTGCCACCCGTACCATGGTACTCTAGGCTGTTGCCCTCTCAGCAGATGGAAAGTTGCAGAGGGCACTGCTTTTTGGCGCCTTGGGTGTGGCTTCGGGAAGATGCTACAAGCAGAGGTAGACCCTTGAACTGCTTCTTTCTTCAGCAGACTTGCATCACAGCAGCTTCTTCCCAGAGCCCGTCTGGTGCCCTGTAGACAGATTTTGCATTCCTTGTGCCGCGTTGCCTTGTCGGCCCTTGAAGGACAGCTTTTCAATGCTACAGCGGTCACGGGGCAGGAGCATGTCCCAGAAGCACCTGCACCGGCCGATGGCAGCAGCTGTCCGGTACCAAGGGTATGAATCCCCTCTATCGGGGGCCGGGGAGACAGAAGAAGAAGAAGAGCCCATGGCTCTGATTCTCTGGTTGCCCCTGGCTCTTCGTGATTTGAGCGGCTCAAAGTCATTCAGATTCCAATCGGTCGCCTTGAAAGCATGCTCGGCAGTCGAACTTCGGCGTGGCAGACAGCCATGGGGCCATCCAAGGCATGGAGCTCGAAGCCGGCTTGATGCACAGGTGCAGCTCACTCGCGTCTACTGTGTGCAGCCTTCGCTTCAGCTACAGGTTCTGCCGTGCCCTCAGTGTATCTTCATGATGGTCCTCGTCAGTGAAACGCTGTTCGTGCAGAGAGCAAAGTCTAGTGCTGCGACTGCCAAGAAGTATACGGAAGGTTCCGAGTGGTCGTGTTTCTGACTGAACTCGCCACATGGAATTAAAGCACATTCACTACCATCAACCGAACTAGCCAGTGGCGTTTGCTGCCCCGCACTGTTTCATTGGCGTGTCCTCGCTATGGCTCTGTTAGTGCTATGCTGTTTACTATTGACATGCTCGTCTAGAGTCTAGAGGCATCTGGCATGTGCTTCGATCTGTCTCCGGACAAAGATTTGCTTACTTGCCGATTCCCTAAACCCTAAACCCTGCTTCTCGTCGCAATGCGACGGTCGGCAGCCAGATGAGTCACGCAGCCGCGAATGGACCCTTAACACAAAAAGTGCTTGGAGCCGAACCACAAGGTGGTTGCTACAGCCGGGCGACGAGCCGAGACAGAGGCGGGGAAATGACCTTGGGTCAAGGTGGCAGCAAGCGTGTGTTTCCGTCCGCTCGTGTAGCTCCACTGTGAGGTGTCTCCGTAGTAACGTCACAAGCTGTCTGCCCAACTAACTACCCCGGCTGCTGCTGGTCTAAGTTCGTGGCCCCTGGGCTGCCGAGCACGGCAGGAATGTCAAAACCGGCACGCTTGCGGCTTGCTTCCTGTACTGCTGTACAATGCATCTGCGAATTCTGAAATACTACACGGTCATATTGGAGTTTGGCTTTGTTGCGCAAGAGCTGATCGCATGGCAAGGGTAAAGGCCTGGCCACATGTTGCTGCTGGGATTTGTGCCGGTTGCCGAGTTGCCACCGTTTTGGATAGTCGCACGGAGTCGCACGTGTTGTATCTTGGGCAAACAAATACGTGCATGCAGATCTACGTGTGCATCTATATATATGGATATATATATATACACACACATACTTACCTATTTGCTTTTTTACTTATTTACATATACCTATACATGTTTATGCTAACGTGCTACCAATTGATATGAGAGAGTTTTGTGTAAACATGATACTGGCGTTCATTCGTCTTTCATGCCGCTTCTGCATACGATTCCAGCTGTTTGTGCCGTGGCTTCGCATTGCTTACCATAGTTTCACTTCACAACGGACGCCCTTTTCGACAAGTGTTACCTGATTGCCATGTTGTTTCTGATTACGACCAGAAGCGTTACGGTAGTTTTGTCGCTACCAGTCTTGCGGTCGCGACGCGGCAGTGACTAGCATGATTAGCGACAGGAGCAGAATGTCATCAGCGTCGTAGTAGTAGTAGTAGTAGTAGTAGTAGTAGGAGTAGGAGTAGGAGTAGGCGTAGGCGTAGGAGTAGTAGTAGTAGTAGTAGTAGTAGTAGTAGGAGTAGGAGTAGAGTAGGAGTAGGAGTAGGAGTAGCAGTAGCAGTAGCAGTAGCAGTAGCAGTAGTAGTATTAGTCGTCGTAAGAGGACGAGTAGGACTGGGAGTGGTGTCTTGTGTTGTCAGGTGGCAGATTCGCTAC